TTACAGGAGTGAACTTCCGATGACGTCTGAAAAGGAGAATTTGGCTCTTTGACGGATTTACTTTTAATTTCCATGAATCATAATAGTGTGCTATGATATTTACTGCGCTTTCAAGTTTATCTACAGCGAGCTGAGGTTTTAGCGACTTGGTTAAAATTGCTGTGTCGTCGGCATATTTCACTACTTTTGCATTCAAAGGAACCGGCATATCATTCGTGTAGATATTAAACAGAAGCGGTCCCAGAACGCTTCCTTGAGCCACTCCGCTTTTAATTCTTTTTCTTGAAGAGAGAGAGTCATTAATTTTTTACCTGAAAGGTCCTGTTTTTAAGATAACTTTTCATGAGCTTAATAAAACTGATGGGCAGATGAACAAGGTGCAGCTTGTAGAGGAGACCCTCATGCCACACCTTGTCAAATGCTTTTTCTAGGTCTAGAAAGCAGCTGGCGATTGTGTTCTTTTTGCGAAGGAGTCTGCAATAAATTCTGTAACGTTCAGTAGTTGGTGCACGGTACTATGACCGGCTCTAAAACCAAACTGCTCTTTACATATAATTTTCCTTATCCTCTAGATGTTGAGTTAATCTTTTTTGGAGCACACGCTCAAATACCTTTCCCAAACTGGGGAGAAGGCTGATCGGACGATAAGTAGTGTTTGAGCTTCCCCGGTAAAAGTTAAGTCCTTTGGGTTTTTCCCCGGCTTGACAAACGTAATTATCTGCGCGTGCTTCCACGTGTTATGTTGCGGGAAGTAATTGAGCCTCATACAAGCATTGACTATGTTTGTAATGAGGACTATGTAGGTTCTTGGGAGAGCTTTGAGAACCGTATTGGTGATGCTATCGTAGCCGGGAGCTTTCCTGGACTTTAAGTTGCTAATTATATTACTTATTTCTGCTGTTGGAGAAGTTGGGTTGAAGTGATTATTACAATTTCTGTCAGCTAGGTGGTTAATGAAATTATCGACTTCTTCATCTGTCTCATCATTATTAGAGGCATGATTGGTGAAAAAGTCTTTTCTAGAATGCTGCGCAAGGGCTTCAGCCATGTCATGTTCAGAATAAGCAATTCCACTACTGGTGTGGAGAGGGACCAATATTTCTGTTATTAGTATTCCTTAAGGAATTTCCAATACGCCAGACTGTATTCGGGAGAGAAAATCCATGGAGTCTAAGAAATCGTCCTAACAATTTTGATCTGTACTCTAGGAGGAGGGTCTTGATGTTCCTAATTTTTCTGTTCAGATTTCTTTTAACAGTGGGATCGCCTGTTCTTCGCCAGATTTTTGCTGTGCGGTTTTTGTCTTTTATTTTCTCAATGATGTGGTCGGGGAGCTTATCTTTTTTATAATCTTTGAATTTGGTGGAATCATCAAGCGCTTTCTTAATTTTACTATTGATCTTAGTGATATTGTACTCAATGTCTACAATATCGGCAAGAGCCGGGTGTGCAGGTAATTGTTCTAGAGAATTATTAAATTTCTGCCAGTTTATAATTTTCTTTAAAGGCAAGGTCTTCTCAAAGCCATGGTAAGTAAATTTAACAGGGAGAGATGGTCAGAGGTTAATTGATTAATCACCTTGTAGGAAAGGGATTTGCTGGATATTTTTTGTAATAACAATGTCGAGAACATCCGAGCTGCCTGTATGATGATACCTGGTGGGTTCCGTTGGTCCAAAAATTCTTAAGGTCATTCGTAAGAGCATAGTATAAAGTTTGTTGCCATTTGTGTTATTTCTTTGAGAATTCCAGCTATGATGTTTAGAATTCAGGTCCCCTGCTATAATAACAGGGTGAGTGATATTGTTAAAAATTTGCAAGTCATTGTTGGTGAGAATGTTTCTGGGGGGATTATAAGCCGAGATGATGACAATCGGCTCATTTGTCCGCGAATGCACAACGATCGCAGTGGTTTCAATGCTGCTGCTATTGGGAATATTAAACTCGTTGGCGTGCAGATGCCTTTTAATTAATATCATAGTACCGCCGCCCCTGTTATGGTCTCTGTCCGTCCTGAATGCGTTGTAACCATTGATCTTGAACTTATCATTAGGTCTGAGCCAAGTTTCATTCACTAGAAACACATCAATATTATGGTGATTAAGGAAGTTTGCAACTTCAACGTTCTTTGTGGCGAATACCGTTGGCGTTAAAAAATGCAAGATTTAAACTGCTGGGGGCAGTGAGGTGAGTTCTTGAATTACTGTTAATGTGGTTAAAATTCATAATTGATGCTTGATAAAAGTTCAAAGGCTTCCCAGCCGACTTGGATTTTTTCCAATATTGATTTAGATTTTAAGAACCGCTCGAAGAGATTTTTTCCTTGCAGGAATAATTTCTTAAGCCAAATTATGAATCGGAAAACGGAGCCTAAGTTCTCACTTTCGACAGCTGCGTCCTGATTGGTGGATGGAAGCATTCTGCTCATTAACATTTTCACTGCTATTTTGGGTTGTGTTTCTTCTTGGCAGAGGCGGGAAATTTTCTAAGTTGATATCAGGGGGATTATTTTTTGAAGTTTTTCTCGCTTCTTTTGGAATTCTTTTTCTGCAATTTTTCTTTTCAAGTTATCCGGATGCATTTCGCAACCACGGTACGAACTAATGTGGGGGCCTCCGCAGAGGCAACATTTTTTGCCGGGTAAGTTTCTGTCTTTTGTACATGTAGTAGTAATATGGTTTTGCCCGCATTTTAAACACCTGGGCTTGTGCTTACAGTGAGCACGACTGTGGCCATACCTCTGACAGTGGTGACACTGTTTGTGTCCTGGAGTGGGTCTGAAGGGAGTAATTTTAACAGCCAAATTCTAGAATATGCGTTATGTTGTATATTTTCTTGCCTTCTATGCTGCGTTTGACTTCAACCATGAAAGTGGGGTAGTTTGACAATTTCATTGTCTATTTTCTTGGTAACTTGTCTTACTGTTTTAACCGGGATGTTATTGTCTATTAGTTTTTCCATAATGTCCTCGGGTTTGGTGTGAACAGATAATTTTTTGATTACAACTCTTATCGGTTTTATCCTGAGGGAGAGGAAAGGTATGGTAAGGAATTTCCTTTCGTCTAGGTATCTCGTGACTTCACGATACTCAGTGTCCGATTTAACTTTAATGTGGATATCACCACCTTTCTGTACACATTCCATGGATATGGTAAATTGCTTAATATTATCTCTGAGGGCTTTTCCAGTCCGTGACATCTGAAATGATAATCGGCGGAATTCTGTTAGCCTTTTTGTTGGGCGTAATGAAATCACCTTCATTATTAGTACTGTCTTCTTGTGAGTTTAGCGAACTAACATTTGTAGTGTCCATTTTATCATCTATTTTTAATGAAGCGTATTTATTTTTGGTTGACGTCATTGAACCGTTGCTGCTTTCACTAAGTGTGCGTTTGTGGTATTTTTTGGGTGTAATCCATTTTTCATTATAATTATTTATTTTGCTTATTTCCTGAATAACATTTGAAACTGGTTTGGGTTGCTTTGTAGTTTGATTAGATGTCGAATCATTGCTAGTATTAACTAACGGGATGCTACCGCAGATATTTTGCACTGAATCTCCTGCAGCTTGTTAATCGCTACACACTTCTCAAGCTCTGCATAGGTTTTTTTGGAGCCATTGCTCCATTTCTGGGGTGATTTTCCGTAAGCCATTTCTAAGCGTGTTAAACGCTAAGTTAAACTCAGACATAATCTGCCTTACAATCCTCAATCGTGCCATGTTTAAGAATATTCTCAACAATATCGCGCTTATTAAGGATTGCTAAATCATTTATCTCATCCATATTTACCTAAGTCAAGCTATCCTATCGATGTACAAGACAATGTCCATAATGAAAGCGTAGAAATCAAAAATATCTCACGAACTTGTCCAGATGAGCTACTCCAAGTACACCTCCTCGAAAGAGACCAACGAAAAACACTTACTATTTATAAATAAATTTCCTTCACTTCCTAAATTTTAGAATCACACTCGTAGAGCAAAATAATAATACGAACTCAAACAACATTCGTATCAACTCAAATTCGACTCTACTACTACGAACTGAGATGTTTTCCTCCTTTTATAACATTTTAAAATCACGCGCTAGAATTTTCCAGTACTTTCTCGAAATGAAAAAGAGTTATTTATTTATTTAATGCACGCGCTCTTGTATTTTCAATTTTCCGGCTTAGCTTTCTTTTAATATTCGTCACGCGCTGCACTACGCGAGAAATAAAGTCATTTAATTTATAATTGACCTAACATTAGCTTTTTAAATACCAAATTCGTAACACTATTAATATGTCCTTTTTTATTAAGCTTATTTGATTATTCCTTTCACATTTCGAAATTTAGGTTCATTCAAAATAAAATTCATGCTTTTTTTTATGATTTATTTTTTAAATTTGTGTTTTTGAATAATTTTTATAAATTTTTCTGAAAAAAATTTGAATTATACCCTACAAAAGTGTTACCATCATCTTAAAGTAGATGTATTTCTAAGCATACTTGCAAAAAATCAGAGATTTTTTATTCAAAATTTCCTAAGATATACATGAATTTACATATTGGCGCATTTTGAAATTCGGCATATTTATTATAGGAGATAGTAACGCCAAATGTGATTTAGGCACTTTGTTAAAATTATTTGAAAGTATGAAGGATGACTCTTTTTTTTTTTTTTTTTTTTTTTTTTTTTTTTACGCTCATGTACAATGAAAAAAATGGAAAGGAAAAAATAAATTTGAAAGTTTTTCAAATTTTAAATTACGTCCAAAGGGGCATTTTTTTTAACTTTTTGTGGGTTAGCTTTATTTATTAAATATCACGTTCATTGCACTTAAACCATAAAATTTAGTTCAATAACAATGTTGCAAAATAATTTTAAAATGAGCTTATCTGTTTCGGCCACCAGAGTCGTCTACCTGTCTGTGAGATATTATTTCGCAATGCGCAGATCGTATGCGCAGCTCGCATTTTTTTTTTTTTTTTTTTTTTTTTTTTTTGCATTCTTGCACTCACTAATTGTAACTTTCACGCTTTACTTTTTGCTGTGTTATGTGCTAAAGCTGAAATCGCTAAAATAAAAGTTAAACGACAGTCCACTCGCAAAGATGTATTCTTATGTTTATTAATTTAAATTTAAGATACCACTACGCTACATTATTTGTGCCGTTCTACGCCGGAGATTGGAGAAAAGGGCGCGCTTGTGAATAAGAATTCTACGTGAATGGTGTTGATAATGCACTTTCGGTTTAGAATTCTCAAGAGTTTCGCAATGGATACAGTGTACGAGGTGAGTGAAATAGTTAACGCATTTTAATTGCATTTGACATTTCGTTATTGCTAATTTATTGTGATTAAAGTATTGGTAAAATCGAGAATTTAGAATATTTTCAAAATGTGAGACATAGAAAAAAAGCGAAAGAGAGTTTTGAAAACACAGTTAACGAAATTCATCGAGAAAATAGATTATGATAATTTAGATAATGCTGAAGCTGAATTAATCTTAGAAAAATGTAAAATCTTTAAGGAAAGATTTTGAAATCTCTGTTTAACAAAATTTATACAGTGAAATTATGATAAAATTGTGATGACGATAAAATAAGACGCTTTCGTTGAGGAAGAACAGTCGATTTTAGAGAAAATTGAGGAAGTTCGAGTTAAAAATTAAGTCGTTAAGTTAAAGAACGACACTAGGTTCATAAATGCAAATGGCGACAAAACCTGTCGTACCTGAATCAGTCTCTGAAAGTTTAAAGTTACCTAAAATTTATCTTTACCCACATTTAGCGGAAAATTCTAGCATAATGGATAAGCTTTTTAAAGATTTATTTAACGCTAGTGTTCGCAACAATCCAATCTTTCTGGAGCTCAAAAATTACAATATTTAAAGAGTTCTTTGAAAAAGGATGCTTATCGCATTATTCAGTCAATTCCCATAGCTGATCAAAATTTCGGTATTGCTTGGAATTTATTAAAAGAGAGATTTTCTAATAAAAGAGAACAGATAATTGCTTTTATTAAAAGAATTGTTGATATTTCACAAATACAAACGGAATGCAATTTCAGTTTATGCAGTTTCTGGCTTTCCTCCAATTGACATTGCCATTCTTCATGCTATTGCTTATAAGGAAAATATTTCTGCTTCTGCTGTCTCTCAGTATGATTGTATTTTACCTCCATCTGATCTTCCTCGTCCTTCAGAAAGAAATGCTGTTAATTTTATTCAGTTTAGCGATAAAATCGTACATGATTCGCCTGTAACTTTCTATACTGATGGCAGCAAAATTGATGGCAAGGTTAGTCTCGCATTTGTTGTCTTCAAAAATGGTCTTGAATTTGAGTACTTTCAATTTAGAGTTAGAGATGAATGTACCGTTTTTATCGCTGAACTTTTGTGCTTAAACTTCGCCATCAAATGGGTCTCTGAACAAAATAGTGCTGTTTCAGACTATCTCATTTGTACTGATTCCCTTTCATCCTTGGAGATCTTAAAATATATTTCTTCTTCTAATAATATCATTATCGAGATTCAAAAAGAACTGAAAAACCTAAAAGATAAAAATATTTCGGTTGCATTTTCATTTGTTAGTGGTCATACAGGTGTTGTTGGGAACGAACGAGCCGATTTCCTTGCTAAGACTGCGACTAAGCGGGAAATTCACACTTTTGTCAATATTCCTAGTTCATTTTATAAGAAGGTCATGTATGAAAGTATTGTGGAGTCGTGGAACCACGAATTCATTAATTCAAATAAAGCGAGCTTAACAAAGAGATTTTCCCCTTCTCTCAAGATGAGATTGTCATGTCATCACTTCTTCGCAGACTATAAATTAACCCAATTTCTTACTGGTCATGGAAATTTCAAAAGTTATTTGAATAGATTTAAGTTGAGCTCCGAGTCTGTCTGTAATTGTAGTTTCGGTGGAGAGGAGAATGTTGAACATGTGCTTCTTCTATGTCCTAAATATAAGAACGAAAGAAAAATCTTGAAACTGGAACTGAAAAACTTAAATATTAACTGGGCTCTAGAATTTTATCAATTTATTTCCGAGAGAAGTGCTTTTAACACTTTTTATCAATTTATTGTGAAACTTTGTAATCATCCTTAGTTTTATTTCAGTTTTTTCTTCTGTTTATTTTGTATTGTGCTTCATACTTGTTCTGTAAGCCCCATGTGATACTATGTGGTACATGGGGAACTTATTGTGTTTCTTTAATTAAAAAATCACGAATACAAACGGAATCTGCATCATCGATATTAAATTTAGTAGGTAATGTAAACGAAATAACTCGCTCATTGGAAATATTAGATCAAAAGTTAGATAATTTTAGTGTTACTTTGTTGATGTATATTATTTTGAAAAAACTTGATGTTTCGACAAAATTGTGGTGGGGGCGTCAATTAAAGAAAGACGAAATACCAAAGTTAAATGACTTGATAGAATTTTTGAAGAATTACGCTAGAACATTACAGAACAGTACACCTTTAATTAGTAAAAAGCATTAAACAGATAAACGAGTGTATAATAAGGTTACTTCTCTGATTACTAATTATATTTGCTTATTTTGTAAAGAAGATCGTTTTTTATACAGGTATTCTAATTTTTTAAACTTACCAGTGCAAAAACGAATAGAGTTTGTTAAGACTAATAAACTTTGTTTTAATTGCTTGTCTAATGTCCATAAAGTTAAAATGTGTAAAAGTGCAAATACCTGTAAGCATTGTTTTAAGCATCATCATAGCATTTTGCATTTAGAAAATAATTTCAAACCAAAAAATGCATCTAGATTCCCTTCACCGGAAGCACAAGTGTTTGTTCCGAAATCGCAAATTAAAACAGAAAACTAATTGAGTGAGGTTTCTCCAACTGTTTGTGCAAACAACTATGAAAATAACCATTTTGGAGCTCATGCTAATGATAAACGTAGTCATGTACTTTTGTGTACTGCTTTAGTTAAGGTTCAAAACTCAAAAAATGAATTCATAAATTGTAGATGTTTACTAGATTCAGGTAGTGAAAAATCATTCATTCGTCGGAAAACAGCTATCAATTTAGGATTGAGCGTAAAAGGATTCGAAGATATTAGTGTCATGCTTAGGTACTTTCAATACAACTACTTCTGGAGAATTTGACTCGTTGTTTACACCTCATTTTAATACTAGTTACAGAATTTCAACATCCGCTTACATAATAAACAAAATTACAGGAAACATTCCAAGTGTAACATTACCTTTGAATTTATATGAAAGCTTCCAAGATTTAACTTTAGCAGATCCTACATTTCATGAATCGGGATAAATTGATATTTTGCTTGGAGTTAACGTATTCCTTACTTTAATCAATGGCGAGGTAATTAAAAGGGGCGAAAATCTTCCATTTGCATTTCGTTCTAAGTTAGTTCTAAGTAATTGCTGGAACTACACATTTTGAATTCCCAAACCGTAAGCAGGTTTCAGTCAATACGCTAAACGTACACACGGAGGAATTAGTTAAATCATTTTGGGATTTGGAACAAATTCCCACATCGAAACCTTTAACCAAAGAGGAAAGATTGTGTGAAAACCATTTCGTGGAAAATCACGTCCGTAGTGAAAATGGTCGTTACTCAGTAAAATTGCCATTCAAGCCTAAAAGAAATGAGTTAGGTGATTCCAGACCATCAGCCTTGCGCAACTTTCATAATTCAACTTTCTTTTTCTTTCTTGCGCAATAACTTTCTTTTTATTTCTTGCGCAACAACTTTCTTTTTATTTCTGCGCAACTTAGACAAAAAGCTAATAAAAACTCCTAGATAAAGTATATCAACAATATAATGACTTCATGTCCGAATATTTATCACGTGGACACATGGAAGAATTATCCTGTAATAATCTAGATAAAAAAATTTTTCATTATTATATACCTCATCATCACGTGCTAAAAGAATCAAGTCTTACCACAAAACTACGCGTCGTTTTCAATGCTAGTGCCAAAACTACATCAGGGATATCGCTTAATGACACGCTAATGAATGGTCCCAAGGTGCAAGACGACTTATTTACTATTCTTTTGAGGTTTAGATGCTATCCCATAGCCATCACTAGCGACTTATTGAAAATGTATCGACAAGTTCAAATTCATGATGAAGATCGCGATTACCAAAAAATATTGTGGAGAGATGATCCATTGAGGCTGATTAAAACTTACAGGTTGTGCACAGTTACGTGCACAGTACAGATTATAGTGAATAATTTTCATGAATCCCATCTTCATGCTGGCCCCCTGCTACTGCTATCAGTAATTAGAAGAGAATATTGGATAATCCACGCTAGGTCAGTTGTAAGACAACAGATTTTCAAACGTGTGAAATGTCATCGTGTACGAGCTAAAACATCTACCCAGATAATGTCTGACTTACCATCGTCTAGAGTCATTCCGTCAAAGGTTTTCTCCAAGGTTGGAATTGACTACGCCGGGCCATTTCAAGTGAAGCCCAGGCAAGGTCGAGGAGTAAAATCAATGAAATGCTACATTTGTGTATTCGTGTGTTTTACTACAAGAGCTATACATATTGAATTAGTAGGTAATCTAACATCAGAATCATTTATTGCCGCTTTTAAGCGCTTTGTATCTCGAAGAGGAAAACCAATTGAAGTTTTTCCTGGCTCAGATAATATTGTGCGTATCGTGAAGCTCAAAACTGCTAATGGAGTTTTGAAAAGGCCAATTCACAAACTTAGTGTTTTTCCTATCAGTAATTAAGTTTTTTTTTTTTTTTTTTTTTTTCTAAAGCATTATCACATTGCTCTTTGCTTTAAATAATTAAGTTCCTGAATTGTATCAAGATTTCTGTGCATCTGCTTTGAGAAAAATTTAATTTAATTTCATAATTTCATATTATGTTTCTTGTGAATATTTTAATGACACATTTTTGCATAATTTAATATTGTTATGATAATTTCATTTTGTAAAAGCTTTTTAGATTTGAAACCATGTTTCAACGCCGGACGGAATGTTTTGGCCACCAGCCTGTCTGTGAGATATTATTTCACAATGCGCAGATCGTATGCGCAGCTCGCATTTTGTTTTTGCATTCTTGCAATCGCTAATTGTAACTTTCACGCTTTACTTTTTGCTGTGTTGTGTTCTAAAGCTGAAATCGCTAAAATAAAAATTAAACTACAGTCCACTCGCAAAGATGTATTCTTATGTTTATTAATTTAAATTTAAGATACCGCTACGCTACACTATCTTTAGAATTTCCGATACCAGTTCGACGCGCTGGAGATAAAAAGCTTTTAGAGTGTTG